ATATCAGACTTATGGCTTTGGACTGGCCTGGGTTAGGATGCTTTCTCAATGTTCAATTCCTTTGTATATAAATCTCTTTCTTATACACATATGAGTGTCTCCATGAATTTGTTTTAGTCTGCTCAGACGAACACAGGTGTGCTCTTTGGGGATCTAACAGAAGCACTAAACGAGCTCTGTAACATTTGTACAAGCAGGGCAGAGGCCAAGGGGCCATGCAGTTGAGGGGCTGAGTGCCAGAGGGAGAGGTGTGCCTGAAAACAGGCACTCCTGCCCAGAAAACTGTTTCTGACCCTGCATTGTGTAACTTGTTAGTTTCCCCCAAGAAGTCACATACTTGTACTGTCTGTGAGCTCTGTGTGGTCACTGCAACAGACTAGTGGACAGAGAGAGAATGACATGCGAGGGACTGGCAGTGTCAGAATAGCTCAAGATTAGAGGGAGGAGGCATGTCTGACCGCTGCCTCATGGGAACTGGCCTTGAACTGATAGGGGGCTGAATTCTCGTTTCGTTATGAAGCCGGAGGTCGTCAGACGCCGTCTCCACCCCATTTAAAATAAAGTATGCAAGTATTCAAAATTCTCTTAAAATAACACTTCTCGCTAGGTACCCTTGAGTCGGTCATGCCTCATAGCAAGCTGGTGCACAAAAGGAAGAAACATCACCCAGTCCTGTGCCATCCTCTCCACGATTATGGCCAAGTACATCGGCGCAGCCATGGTGTCACGCCATCTCAAGGGCCTCCCTCCTTTTCACTGTCCCTCTACCTCACCAACCATGATGTCCTTTCTCCAGGGACTGGTCTCTCCTGATCACGTGTCCAAAGAACATGAGACAAAGTCTTGCCCTCCTTGCCTCTAAGGAGCATGCTAGTTGTACTTCTTCCAAGACTGATCCACTTGTTCTCTGGCACTCCGTGGTCCTTTCAAGATTCTCCATCAGCACCGTAATTCAAAGGCACCCATTCCTCTTCAGTCTTTCTGATTCAACGGGCCACTTTCACGTGCATATGAGGCCACTGAAAACTACCATGGCTTGGACCGGGCACACTTTAGTCCTCAAATTATCATCCTTACTTTTCAACACTTTAAAAGGTCTTCTGCAGCAAGATATTCTAGAAGCAAGATCATCCAGCACAAATGTCTAATCGCTCTTGTTCTACAGGTCAGCTACTTGGCTCTTTCTATTCTTGATCTCCTTAGCCATCTGTGACACATCAAGACAGAAACAGTCTCATTTGAACAATGCACGGTGCTCTTGGTCCTGTCTTCCTCACATGCTAAAAACGTAGGTGACACTCAGCAGACGGTCTCCTGAAGGATCCCTGGTCTCAGGTGACTTAAGAGGAAATAGCCCCTCTTCTCCTCCTGGCTCTATTAGTAGTATGGTGTGAAAAACATATCTTACATTCTTCTTGTTACAGTATCACAGTAGGTAGATGTGACTAACTTGCTAACAAATGCCATAAGAGGCCTTTTACTTGGATAGTGATTAGAGTTCAAAGATCCTGTTAGTCCCTGAGAGTTGCAAATAGTTTGTGCTCTACTACTGGTCAACAGGGTGGCTGCTTGAATTCACCCAGTGGAGCCTCAGAAGACAGCCTGGCAATCTGCTTCACAATCCCAGGCTAGTAACCTCCTGGGCTGTAGGGAGTCAGAGGCGACTCACTGGCAGCTGACAACAGTTCCAATGTATCCAGACAGGAGAAAACCTCAGCTGAGCGACTGGCCCACTCCCCAGAACATACTTATATGTAGGCAAATCATTGTTAAGTTTGAAGACAATCCTAGATTTTTATCAGTTGCTGTTTTTATAGGTATTGTAGTATCTAGCCTACATGTTATTTTTTAGGATAATGATGTAAAAGACTAACCAAAGGCCTCATAAGGCTCCTCTTCTTGCTCATTTTCATCCAGCCTGCCCAAGCAGAAGGCATTTGAACGATCAGGAAAAGGGGACACATCAGGTGGCTTTTGGTAGGCTTTCTAAAAGAGAATAAATCAAAGTTACTGAATTGGCTCTAATAAGCAGAGAACGTGACAAAGTCCTATCTATTTTCAATGACATGCCTGCTATGACTGCCGCTTACAGGCACAATCCTTAGCACTTTGGGTGCAGGGGGGGGGTGACGACTCAGAATCTAGGGCAGAGGTTGGCAAACATTTCTATAGCGGGCCAGAAAGGAAATTGGGGTTTGCAGGCCACAGGGTTTCTGATGCCACTATTCGACTCAGCCACGAAAGTGTGAATGCAGGAAGAATGACTGTCGCTCTGTTCCAACAAAACTTTTTTTTGAGGACACTAAAATTTGCATTTCATATAATTTTCCTAAGCATTAGTTATGCTTTTGATTTCTTCCAGCCATGTAAAGATGTAAGAAGCATTCTTAGCTTGTAAAACTGTACAAAACCAAACCACAGTCAAAAAAGGAGAGCTTGATTTGCCTTGTGGGTATTCACGGACCCCTAAAACTAGAGCCCTCTGCCAAAAAGGATCCACATATCCAAAGTTCACCCCCAGAGGGGAGTGCGTGTAGGTGTCAGGGAGCCGACAGAGAGTGAGCAGTATTATCGTCCCATGAAGTTTCCTTTTTTTGTTGTTTTTTTTAACCAATCGAAAGCCCTACTGAAAAACCAAAACATTTACAAAATGAGAAAAAATGTGGAAGGGTACTATAAATAACTGGAAAAAGTGATGGGTACTATTAACAGGCAAGAACACATGAAGAAATCAGGGCGAGATGAGAAAGATGGGATGAAACTGGCAAACAAAACTAAACCATTTTCTGCTCGCAGCCCCACTGACAGACTGACTTCCTCAGGGAGACTGGGGGTGGATGCCGAGAAAAAGGGCTGACAGACGTGAGGGAATGGAGCTCCCATCAGTGAAAGGCAGCTGCCTCGGAAGGAGACAGGAAGGCTGGGATCAGGGCTGGTCGCTTAGATCCATCCTCCAAGGCATACTGGGCCCTAGCTCCCGAAGGCGGGCAGGAGGGCAGGAGAACAGAGAAACGGACATTAAAAGCAAAGACAAACCCAAGCGCGATGAGGCTGGATGGGAGCCAAGCACTAGGAGCACCGCCCAGAGGCGTTCTGAGACTTCAAGTGAGTAAAGCAGCCAGCCAGTGGAGGCTGGGGTTAGGGCCGCCCAGCAAAGAGAGGTGGCGCAAGACAGAGAAAGCCCGGGCAGGACCGGAGAACAGAGAAGACTCCAAACCAAAACCAAGCTCACTGCCTTAGAGTCAATTCTGGCTCGCAGGAACCCTAAGAAGCAGGGAAGAACTGTCCCTCCGGGTTTCCAAGACAGTAAATCTTCACAAGGGTGGAAAACCTCATTTTCTCACCTAGAGATCATGTACTTGCATACAATGCAAATACCAATTCAAATCTGGACAAGCTATCAGAAAAAAAATTGGAATCAGAAGGTTAGATAAATGTACCTGTTTTGTACATCCATTTTTACTCTCAGACTAAAGGAATGTCTCTCGATACAGATACTCAGTATCCCTAAAATCTTGTTTTATTTAAAATAGTGAAAAACTGGAAATGGCTTAAGTTATGAAATGGTCAAGTAAAACTGTCATGTGCACTAAGGAAGAAATTATGATTTAAAACACAATTGCTTAAAAAGATAATGGATAAAATTTCTTTTAAAAAGATAATGGATAACCTGGAGAAAAAGGCCTAAGTCAAAAAAGCAAAATACAAGTGGTGTAATTTTCACAAGATGGAAGTTATACAAACCAAAATAAAGCCAACGGAGACTCAAAGAAACACAATTCTAAAATATTAACCTTATTTCCCCACACGTGACACGTCCGCGTAAATGACATGCATACACAGCACATTGCACGTAGAGTATCCGAGAAACAAATGCATGAGCAGACCGGCTAGGTCTGCAAAAGGTCTGAAAATGCATACATTTTCCCCATAAAAACACGATACCAATTTCTCCATGATTTGGGGAAAGAAGGAAACAGAATTCATTTGTCCCTATGATAAAACAGTTCACCAAAACAGCAGCTAGGGTGTCAATTGTGAGAAAAGTACATTAAGATTCTAAAAAGATAACTTACATCTTTCGTGTGGTGTGCTCTTCCCAAGGCGTTCTTTGAATGTTTCATACTGTAAAACACCAGAACACAGAAGAGAATTAGAAATATTTTTCAGAGCATCTCCCACAACCCAAAAAAAAAAAAAAAAAGGGACAGTCTTCACGGGTTGCACAGGGTCCCTGTGAAGAAATTTAGGTTGGAGCAAGATCCTTTTCAGGAAGCAGAACCCATCTCCCACAGATTTATTTGTACAGATCAAATCCATCCCAGCTGTGTAAGACAGTAACCTTCCTTCCTCTCCCTGGGGGGCAAGGAAAACACGGACTCCGGCCTTGAATCTGAAGTCCTACCGATCCGCAAACGCTAGCTGAGACATCTCTGCAGAAGTCAGCAAAGGGGAAGCAACTGCATGCACTGGGTGCCTGACACCTGGTCCATCTGGTGAACGGCTTTTCAACACACACTTTCTGATTTAGCTCTAACTCAAACCAAACTTACGACTGCTGTATCAATTCAACTGAGTAAACGTTGGCCTAAAAGCAGGGCAGAATGGCCCCCGATGATTTCCAAGGTTATTAATCTCTCCGGAAGCAGTGACCACGTCTTCCTTCCTCTCTTTATGAGAATAGAGAGCCTCTCGCAGTGGTTGGTGGCTTTAAACTGCTGACCTTGCTGGTAGTAGTCCAGTATACAACCCACTATCCCACTTGCCCTTTACTGGTGTGGGTCCAAACCACTGACCTCCCTTAGCAGTCGAGCTCTTTAAACACTGCACCAGCAGGCCCCCCTCTACCATCCTATGAAAACGGTAAACTAAGTCCACTGCCATCAAGTTGCTTATGAGGAATGGCGACCCCTGTGCTTCAGAGGGGAGCTGATCCCCTGGGCTTTTTGAGTGTACTCTTTATGGAAACAAGAGTCCTGGCAGTGTAGTATTTCTGCATTGGGCCGTGAGCAAAAGGCCAGCACTTTGAAAATACCAGCCGCTCCGCAGGATACTCTACTTCCATTAAAAAAAGAATCCAAACTCATTGCCATTGAGTCAATGCCAACTCTTCGTGACCCTGTAAGTCAAGGGAGAACTGGCCCTGTGGGTTTGAATGCTGTAAATCTTTACAGGAGCAGAAAGCCTCATCTTTCTCCTGCAGGGCAGCTGATGGGCTTGAACTGCTGACCAACTTGCTGTTAGTTCAATTTGTGTAACCCACTATGACACCAAGGCTCCTCCGTTCTTATTAAGCACAATAAAAAAAGCTCAAAAGCTCTTTTGGGCAATGGTGCTCACACTTTATTGTGGTCAGAATCACCTGGAAGGTTTGCAAGAACACAGATGCTAAGCTCCACCACTCTTCTGTCAGTTTGTTGCTGCACTGTACTGTAAGGTTTTTGGCCTTTCTCAACCGTTCATTAACTCCCACCAAGTGATGAGACAGTTTGCTATTAACGGACATAATGCATACAAAACTGTAACATGAGGATTGGTCAGTTTTGTCATCCTGCTAGGCTTAAATAGAGCCTGCCCAGGGGCAGGAAGGGGAGCTCACTACCACCAAGATGAAGAGCTAGGAGTAGACTAGTCTTTGATCCCAGGTTCCCTAAGCTGAAAACCTCCTAAACTTAGGAGACAAAGAAAGAACTGTAACACTGGAGATGGTAGGAATGGCAAGAATCAGAGGTAGAACCAGGAGACCAACAAGAGATGGCATGGTGAGGGGAAATCCATTGAATAAGAAAGCTAAGCACCTTCAGACAGACAGGAATTTTGCTGGCTCTGAGTGTTGTCTGCCTCGGGGCTCTTGTTGAAAGAGCTTGGCTTATAGACAAATGGAGCTACAAAGCATAGAGCCTTCGGGCCCAAACGGGAGGTTTGTGGACATTTATCTGTAAAGCTAAACAGCTTTGAGACTTTTCAGCAAACAAATGCAATGATAAAAGCACTCCTCAAAACCAAATTTGGAAGACAGCCACCAGGTCCTTCTAATGAAAACTGAACCAAGAGAAAATGGAAATTAACAAACATGTCATTAGTACTACAGTCAAGTAAAATTTTGCTGAAGATACTAAAAAACAGTTGCAGCACTTCATCAACACAGAACTGTCAAATAGAAGAGGGCACAGAACAAGGGATATTATCACTGACATCAACTGAAAGCAGAGTAGAGCAGAAAGATGTTTATCTACGTTATTCAGTGCAAAGACGCTCAACTGTGTGGATCAAAACAAACTAGGTAATACTCTTGCGCTCAGGTGGAACTTGTACATAGAGTCCTTCAAACACCAGAGAACTGAAGTAATAGCATGGGAACCCAATCTGACCTCCTCGGTTCCCTAGGCTAATTGCTACATGGCAGAGGTTAGACATACCACCATCCTCCATCCCGTGTGTCCTACTCTATCACCAGCTGACCCTCCCATAGCACTACTTTGGTGGCTGTGTTCTATAATTCATTATAAGGGCCACAGAGAATACACAATGGCCATGATTATGCGGTTGTAAGGGAAGGTAACAGATACAAATCAGGTGAGAAATGCTCAGAAAACAGATGTTTAGTCAGTTTCATCTCTGCCGTGTCCACACGCAGGCCTCTCCCTGGCCCTCAGCCCTTGGCCAAGCCTCTGCCAATGTTACAAAGCTCCTATAAGGCTGACAATAAATGTCTACAAGGCATGCCATTCTGCTGTAAGCCTCAACCCAGAGCCGCTCCACTTCCATGGGTCAGCAAACCAAGATGCTCTAGTTGAGAGTCTAAAGTCACTCCACTCTACAAACGAACCTCATGCCCCAAAGCACTCACCTTTTCGTGCTCTGAAAGCTGGGAAGTCTAGCACTTTGTTTCTGGCTTTGTCTCCTGGTGCTGCTGCTGCTGCTCATCTGGACTCCTCTGGTGTCAAAGCTGTCTCCTGGATCAAGGAGGATCAACATGTAAGGATCTGGGTGGGGGCTCAGCTCTTAACTACGGTTGGTAATAAGTCCTCTTTCCTGTTTCAGAGATGGCTGATTTTATACCCAGCTGGATGGCACTCACAATTAACCCTGTTAACAGTCACTCAGATTAATCATATAATCAATTAGTGTCTTTCCCATTTTCTTCCCCACCCCAGGAGAATTTTTTTCCTCCCAAGGGCCATTTGGATATTTATAACATCATTCTCGAGCCATACTGGTCAAACATTTAATGAACTCATCCCTAATTCAATGAATGGCTGTAACAGCATGTAATAATTACTGGTATTAATATTGTAGGCCTTACATGGCCTGTGGGCCGGGTGTTCCCCACCCATCTTTCCCAGTTTCACAAAAATAATGAAGGTCTTTGGTTGGTGTAACAAAAGTTATGGCTGGAAGAGCCATATTAAATAATTCATTACATTGCAGTGATACTGCTTGGTTTTAATCCTGAAAGATATGCATCAGGGTTGTATCCTATCACTATACTTATTCAATCTGTATGCTGAGAAATAATGCAAAAAGTTGGACCGTAGAAAGAATGTAGAAAGAATGCATCATCAGGATTAGAGGAAGACTCATCAACAACCTGTGATATGCACACACACAACTTTCTTTCTGAAAGAGAGAAGTCTTGAAGCACTTACTAATGAAGATCAAAAAATACAACCTTAGTATGGATCACATCTCAGCATGAGAAAAAAAAAATCCTCACAGCTGGTCCAATAGGCAGGATCATGATAAACAGAACACACCGAACTTGTCAAGGATTTAATTTGACTTAGGTCCACAACCATCACCTGTAGGAGCAGCAGTCAAGAAACAAAATGACACATTGCCTGGGCAAAAGAAGTGCTGAGACTTTTTAACGTGTGAAGCTCAGGCACCACTTCTGGGGACTAAGAAATGCCTGACACAAGGCCTAGTATTTTCAATCACCTCATATATGTGGACAATGAATAAGAAAGAATGAAAAAAACTGATGCATTTGAGCTTTGGTGTTGAAGAATAAAGTAACATAACCTGCTGGAACAGCGGTTCTCAACCCCCTTTGGGGCCAAACGACCCTTTCATAGGGGTCACCCGATTCACAACAGCATAACAGTACCAAAATTACAGTGAATTAGCAACGAAAATAACTTTGTGGTTGGGGGTCACCACCCCATGGGGAACTGTATGAGAGGACCGCGGCATTGGCAAGGCTGAGAACCACTGTGCTAGAAGAAACAAACCTGTTGTAAAGGACAGCCAGAACACACACTCAGAAGCCAGGACAAGGCTTCACCTCATATAATGAGTCAGGCGAGACCGGTCTCTGGAAAAGGACATCACGCTCAGTGAAATAGAGGGTCCGCCAAAGAAAAGGGGGAAGATCCTCCATGAGGTGGATCAACACAGTGGCCACACAATGGGCTCAAGTGCAACAACGACGGCGAGGCCGATGCAGGCCAGGCAGGGCAGTCTTTCACTCTGCTGCACGCGGGGTAGCTGCGCCTCGGAGCCGGCCCCACACAGGCCCCAACAGCAATGACAAGTCCTCTTCTGCACCCAGGCGGATTTCTGGCCATTCCTGGTTGACGTACTGATAGATCTTACTGTCTTCAACAAAATGTTAACCTCATGTTGTATTCATCCCATTGCTGGATCATTTCCAGTCTGTTGGATCGCCCTCATTAGGAACGGGCACACACACAACAGAGCTCTGCCGGTCAGTTGGCCAGGTAGCTACCGCTTTCCAGACTTCTTGGCCAGACTCCTGAGTGCTTCCAGCAACGTATCCATTCGCTGAAACATCGCCTCGGTATTCTGCCGATTCCTGAGCCTTTGATTTTTTTTTTTGCCAGTGTTTGCAGGGAAGCTTAAGCTTCTTGTTCATGTTCCCTCCTGAAATGGTTCGATGGGATGAAGTGACACAAGGGCTGCAGAAATGGGCATGAGGAGGTGCAGGACCAGGCTGCGTTCATCTCCGGCACAAAGGGTTCCCTGGGATGGGAGCCGACTCCAGGGAGCTATCAACAAGAAGCAACAGGAAAGACCAGGCTGGCATCTGTGGTTTGCCTTTCTATCAAGTTCCCAGGTGATGCTGATTCGCTAGCTGGCCACTTGCAGCAACATCATTTTATTGGATTCTCAAAACTCTTGAGATGGTAATAGTACTCATTTTAAAGCATTTTTAATAGATTGTGATCCTCACTTCAGAGAAACAACGGTTCTTTCTCCAAGTAATAGTAACAGAACTAGATACCAGATTATATGTCTTCACCGGAGTCCTTTCCAAGGTCTCTTAACAAAAAAAAAGGTCAGATTCCTCTGTGCCTTTCATAGGTCCTAGGGAGGGCTTTGGAAAGATGGAATTATAGCTGACAGCTATACATAGAGTTGACAGTCTATTTTGAACAGAGCATTTTGGGGGGACGGATGAACATAATCTCTTGCCTCTAACACAAAAATGTTAACCAAATAAAAACAACTCACTGATCGATTAAATTAAGTTGGCCTCATTTCAGCTGATGTCTAATGCCCCTAAATTCTTTTCCATCACTTTTTCTCCACCGGGGAAGTCCTTGGTCCTTCCCCACAGACCACAGGAGTCTAGTTCCTGGTTTCCCCACCTCCCTGCTCAGCCAGGCTCCATCCACCACCCCCACAAACACGCCCCGCTCTGCTGGGCGGCCTCCCACCCTCATCCCAAGTTCAGTACAAACACCACCTCTTCCGCAGGTGAGTGCCCAGGTGGAAGTCCTCAACACCCAAGCCAGGCCCGGGCGTGGTGGGGGCCAGGGATACACAGGCTCCTGACATCCCCAACGCCGCAAGTGCACATAACCCACGAAGCCAATTAACATTTCCAACCAGGTTTCAAACGAGAGCTTACAAAATAACAGTATATTGCTTGCGCCAACCAGGACCGTTCGGTCTTCCCAGATGATTGGCTCCAGCTCTACTCTCCTGGGTTTGATTTACAAACACGCGTGGGGCTTGCAAACAGGAAGGCCACAATGGAAATACTCCTAAGAGGACACTTAGCTGGACTGGAAGGCCTGGCGAACGATTCTGAGTCTCCCGCGTTCACACTACATTCATGCACACACAGTAATGAACACCAATGCCCCAAACTCACCGCGATCACCTGGACGCCGACTCCTACAACCAGACAGACGGGGCAGGTCTGGGCGCTTCTCGGACGAGCTAACGCTTAGGGGCGGAGAGACCCCGGGCTTCCTCTCGCAACACTAACACTCAAAACAACTCGCGTGCTTGCCCAGCACCAATTTCCCCACTAACTTCTTTACTTTTTACGAAAATCCCATGAAGCCGGCACTATTATCCACGTTCTACTCGCGTGGCAGCCCAAGCCCTCACTGCGGACAGGCGTCTGCGGCGCTCCCAGGCGCTTCCGCAGCTGCGATAACAGCGCCAGGACCTAAATCCAGACCGTACGGACCGCGCGGCGTCCGCCCAGCCCCAAGCCGCTCGGAGCAGCCAATCGCGACGGAGCCGAAGGCGCCCCCTCCGCTGCCACGTCGTGCGTTAGGCCAGGGCTCCTCCCCGACCTGAGGCCTGATGAAAAACCCGGCATGGATATCGTTCGCCACGGAGCTGGAGTTCACGCCGTGCAATCAGTCACCGAAGGATTCCTGCAGCTCCGGATCTATCCTGGGCTTTCCTTTCCACTCGCGCCCCGCGCGAGTTCTCTGGCCCGCCCACTCCTCAGGCCGGAGGGCCGGCCCCTCGGGGGCGGGAAGGGGAGAAGCGAAAACGAATGTGAATCCGGTCTGAGCCGCGCTGCTTGTTGATTGAGAGTTTAGCTACGCCAAGGAGACTTCCCGGATACTGCCTCTAATCAGTGTTTTTGGGCACGTCCTGTATCTCTATCCGTTTCTTCTGCTGTAATCGGGGAGGGGTCTTTACGGAACTAACATTCTGTGATTTTTTTCTGTTTAAAAACTTATGTCTCGTACAGGCATATAGTATATATAATGGACCCATTACCGGATCAGAAAATAAATCATTACTATACCTTAACTTTTTTTTCATTAAAAGATTTTATCGGAGGCTCCACAGCTCTTAAACAATCCATACATCAACCGTATCAAGCATATTTATACATAAGTTGCCATCATTATTTTCTAAACATTTACTTTCTATTGAACCGTTGATGTCAGTTCCTCTTTTTCACCTCCCTGTCCCCCCTGGTGACCCCCTGATAAATGATAAATTGTTATTATTTCCATCTCTTACACCGACCGCTGTCTCCCCACGTGGTTTCTGTTGTTCGTCCCCTGGGGGTGGGGGCTGGCGATTATGAGATCATCTGTTCCTGTTCCCCCTTCCTCCTCTCCGCCCCACCCCACCCCACCCCGCTTCGCCCTACCCTCGAGGGTACCTGAACTCTTCTGGAAAACCCTGTGGGGCAGTTCTACTTGGCCCTGTTGGGTGGCTATGGGTTGGCTCTCCTGGGCACAGTTCTGAGCAGCATCCTCGCCCAAGGAGAACTTGGTGAGTTTGTGTTTACCACTCCTATGCTTTTTACCAGAGTTTCCCTAGGATCAATCGTGTATTGATTACTATGTTTCTAAATGTATGTGATATTTGGTATGCATTCTTCTACAAATGCTCTTTTCACTCAAAACTGCTTTTTTCGATTTAGCCATATGGATGCCTGCAACTGTAGCTCATTCATCTTCCTGGTCTTTGGAATGCCTGCAGGTACTTGCCTTTGTATGGAAACAGCGGTTTTGAATTTTTCAGCTGTTACCAACAATGCAATGCTGAACATTTCCATCCATGTCTTGCAGGGGACTTGGCTGAGTTAACAGTATGACTGCACAGTTTGAAACAACCTCCGGGGGGGAAAAAGACTGGGCTTTCTACTCCCATAAGCAGTTACAGTCTTGGAAACCCACAGGGCTGGTGGTGGTGGTGGGTACAGCATAGTGACAGACGTGTTCAGCTTTACACGATAATGCCAATTTTTACATACTGCTTTTTCTTTGTTACTGTTAAGTACTGTCGAATTGGTTCCAACTCAGAGCAACCCTATGTACATATTTTTTCATACTGTTTTATAAAATGTATGCAATTCACACTCACCCACCAGCAGTGTAGATGAGTCCCCTTATCTCCACATCCTTGTCAATAAGGAGCATTTTCAAGAATTTGATTTATTTATGACCACTTTGCTGTAGTTAGCTGCTGTAGAGCCACCCCTGTCACATAGCGATCCCAGTTTCACACGGAAAGTCTGCCCAATTCAGTGCCATTCCCATGACTGGTTGCAGATTGGACCACAGTGATCCACTGACTGACTATCAAAAATAGGTTGCGAGGCCTTTCTTTCTAGTCCTTCTTAGTCTGGAAGCTCCCGAGACCTGGTTAGCCTCATAGTAACACTGATGCCTCTGCTGGCAGTGTGGCCCTGGTTGTCCAAGAGGTGCACTCATGAGATGCACTGAGCAGAATTGAATCATCTCCCACATGGAAGTCAAAAGCTCGACCACTGAACCACCAAAACAAAGTCACTGCCATGCTAGTTAGGATGCTGTGTGCGGCCAGGTTGACTAGAGAAACAAATCCAGTGACACTCATATATGAAGTGAAACATCAAGAAAACATCCCAGCCTAGTCCAACTCAAGTGCATGCGTCTGATACTAGACCCTAAGTCCCACTTCAGACTCATGCAGCCACAAACAATGATGCAGAATGCAGGGAGATCACAGGTTGGTGGGAGCAGTCATGTGGCTCCAATGCAGTGGAACCACCACAGGGCTCTGACAGCAACCAGGGTCAGCCAGCAGGAACAGGAAGGCAGAAGGGGAGGTTCCCAGGGCCCTCCTTATGAGAAGGCCACGCCCTCAAGAAGACACCCATCTGATTGGATACCACCCATACACTTTTATATACCCTCAAGTTGGCATGAATGTATATAACTGCCACAGATGCTCTATAAGATCTCAGCGCTAAATCTCTCCAGGAGGAGAAATCGCACTCCTCACCATCTTTATCCTTTGGAGCAGCTGGTGGGTTTGAACCACCAACTTTGAGGTTAGCAGTCAAACACTTAACAATAGCATCACCATAGCCCCCAACGAGGAAATGCTTTAGCCTGCTGTAATCCCCTCTGGCATTTATTACCAATCTTGTCACCTCTTCAAGGAACCAGATTCCTTGGTGATTTCAAGTCCTGGCAACTCCATGTGTACCAGAATAGAAGTATATGCTCCATCGAGCTTTCAGTAGCTGATTTTTTCAGAAGGGATCTCCAGGCCTTTTTACAAGGCACCTCTGCGTGGACTCAAATCTCCAGGCTTTAGGTTAGCAACCAAACAGGTAAACTGCTTGTACCCAGGGACTGCGCCTGCTTAGTTCAAAATGATATACTATTGTGTTTTTAATATCCATTTCCTGTAAGACAATTATCCTTTAATTGCTTATAAGTTATTCTTACTTTCATGAAAAGTCAAAATAAAACTTTCATCTGTTTTTATACACAATTGGTGTGTGCTGCAGTTACATAATCTACTGTCAACTTGAATGAAGGTGTGGAGTCTAGCCTGTCAATCAGGTCATAGCCAGTGAGGCCTCTGTGTGGGCATGGCCTTCTCCTAAGGATTCTGGGAACCGCTGTCTTCCTCCAGGGAGGTGGGACACACACTCTGCCTGCGAGACATTCCTGTTGACAAACTACATGGAGCTATGCTGATGGAGCCAAAGCCCTGGAGCTAGAGGAACCATGTGGAGACCCATGCTGGCACTGAGATGCTTCCACTGTCATTGGATCCATAACACTTTCCACCCACTGACCTGTGATCTTCCTGCATTCGGCGTCATTGTGTGTGTTGTGTGAGTCTGAAGAGGAATTTATAGACTGGTATTAGACATAAGGGCTAATATCAGACTTATGGACTTGATCTGGACTGGCTGAGATTTTTTAAATATACAATTATTCTTTATATAAAGCTCTTTCTTATACACATATGAGTGTGTATGAATTTGTTTCTCGAGTTAACCCAGACTAACACAGCGTGTATATATATATTAGGTGTTTTTTTTAAAAAGAGTTCTTTATATATTTGAGAAACAAGTCCTTTTCTATGTGTTTCAAATGATTCCCACATTAGGGCTTTTCACATTTTCTTTTTAAGTCTCAGCTGACTAGTTTGATAAAGGTTCCTTGTTTGTTTTTTCAAATGAGCAATGTATATTTTGGTAATAGCTTGTTAATTTGTTAAGCAAAACTTACATACAATGAAATACATAGGCATTAAGTGTACAATTTGATGAATTTTCAAATAACATATACTCATGTAACTAACCCTTCAATAAAGAATCATAACACCTTATTAAAGAGTCAGCCCAAAAGGTTTTTTCCTGTCCTGCTTCAGATAGTTCCTGTGTCCCATAAATAATAATGTTCTGACTTGTATCACCACAAATTAGATTTTGTAGTCTAGAATTCTCATACTGGAATCATATAAGCAGCCTGTGTGTCTATATATTCCTCCTAGTATGTACAGAGTGAATGGTTCATTCTCAGCGTTGCTGAGTAGTATTCCATTAGCTAAGGAGCCCTAGTGGCACAGTGGATTATGGGCTGCTACCACAAGGTCAGCAGTTTGAAACCACCAGCTGCTCTGTTGGAGAAAGAAACACGGAGCTTTCTATTCTAGTAAAGAGTTACAGTCTAGGAAGCCCACGGAAGCTACTCTGTCCTGTGGATCACTCTGAATCAGAATGTAGTTGATGAGAGTGAGTTTGGTTTGGGCGTCCGGATTCCATTATCGGAATCTAGCACATGCTCCTCTCGACAGATTATTTGCATTGTTCTCAGCATTCGGCTATTCTTTCTAAAGTTGCTGTAAAGTTTTTTTGTGTGAAAATCTTTGTGTGAATGTTTTCTCAAAGTATTCTTGACTATTTCACAATAGTCCAGATCTTTGTATTTCTATGAAAATTTTAGAGAATGGCATTCAATCCGTTTGGGAAGATAAGAGGGATCTTAAGTGGAGATTTGCAATATGGGAATGTACTGGAAAACCACAATGGAGTTTCCAGGATAGACAAAAAGACCGAAGCGTGGGTTTGGAAAGAAAACGAGCACGTGAACTGCGGAGGGACTTGGTGGCTGGAAACACTCGTTGATCACATGTGCTGGCGCAGGGTAATGAATTATTTCAGGCGGCTCTGCTAGCAGAGTCTCTAACTCCCACCAAATGACCTTTCCCCGCA